CTGGAGGGGCCTACCTGTTGACATCTGGAGATTGTTAATTCACTTCCAAGGCCTAATGTCATAGATAAGTTGGGCAACTGGACTCCATGGTACTGGTCAAGGATCCAGGGTTCTCTGTGCACTCAGTGAAGTGTTGACTAATTATACATTTAAAGTAAAAATGCTTTGAAGATATAACCACTTTGAGATAGGAAGATACTGAGTGACTTTGTAACCTGGGTGAATCTGTTTGCCATACCATGCTGAGTAATAACATTGCTGATATTTACTTTTACTGTGAGAATTAAAAAGTAACACAGAGAAAGAGGAGAACAGAGCAATTCTTTAAGGAGATATCCCTGCTGCTCTCTGGAATTGCTGGCTTTTCTGTGAATAAAACTGTTGGTCTCTCATCCACTTCTCCATTGGTTGGCTTGGGTAAAAGGTGCGCAGACTGATTGGTCTGGCAACAAGAGTTCAGACCATTGCAGGCCTTGCAGTTTTTTCAAAGTGTTATGGAAAGCTATGGGGATTCTTATCATAGCAGTGATGTGATCTCACTCTAATCACCATGGGGAGAGATTGAAGGGCAGGGAAACTGGTAGGTACCATGTTTCCCTGAAAATAGGACCTACCCCAAAAATAAGCCCTAGCAGGATTTCTATGCATTTGTTAAATATAAGCCCTACCCTGATAATAAGACCTAGTGATGGGCGTGGCTATGCAGTGTATCTACATAGCCACGTCATGCATTTTGGCACAGAAAGGAAGTCATCCCCTGAAAATAAGCCCTAGTGTGTCTTCCTGAGAAAAAATAAATATAAGATGGTGTCTTATTTTGGGGGAAACATGGTAGCTGTTGTGGTGGGCTGGGAGTAAACCCAGATCAGAGGCAGAGCACTGAAGAAAGTGGGAAGTGGCTGGATTCAGGGTCTTAGGAGGTAAAGCCCTCAGAATTTGGTAGAGTGTTGAAATAGGGTGGGTGGGGGGGAGAAGAGTTAGGGATAACATCAGTGTGACCTGAGCATCCATGGGAGTGGTTGGGTTGTTTTCTGAGATAGGATGGCAGGGGGGATACCAAGAGTAGCTTGATGACCACTATTGGGAAAAACAAGATTGAAATAGGTGAAGCCAGTCACCCAAAGTCTCACAGTTAGAAAGAGGCCAACTTTTATTTCAAGCTCATATGTTTCTGACCTCATTCACTTTCTCATTACCACATCTCCATGTAGCAGTGAATGCCCCATCCTCATTTCTCTCCTAAAACTTGCAAGACCATGAGAGCTGTGGATGAAAACTAAGTACAAGTTGTTTTTGTGGGATTATCTTTTAACTTTACTCTATTTTTTTATGTTTACTTTACTTTTTACATCTCACCTTTGCTTTTTGTGTTGACTTTTTATGTCAACTCTCATACTGGTGATTGAAGATTTCCCAAGGGCATAAACAAAGCTGAGGCCAACAGTCTCATCTTGCAGAGGGAAATCAGGGTGTTAGCGACTGAATTGTGTCTTCCCAGAATTGAAATGCTGAAGCTCTAATCCCTAATGTGGCTGCATTTGGAGATATAATCCATAAGGAAGTAATAAAGGTTAAGTGAGACCATAAAGGTGGGGCTTTAATCTGTTAGGGCTGGTGTCAATATAAAGAAGATACAGAGACACCAGAGATATTTCTTCCCCCACAATCCCAACCTGTGCACACAGAGAAAAGCTGTAAGAGGACACAGTGGGAGGGCAGATAGCTACCAGGAAGAGAGTCCTCACCAGCCTCACCAAACTTCCCAGCATCTTGATCATGGACTTTTAGTTCCCAGAACTGGGAAAAAATACATACCTGCTGTTAAAGTTTGTGGTATTTTGTTTGGCAGCCTTAGTCAACTTTTGAAAGCAACAAATACTCGTGAAGGCTGAATGCCTGTGATTCGTCTTGTACTGTGCTCTGGAAAACACAGACAAATAACAACCCCTGTTATAGAGAGAAGTTAAGTTATTAAACGGATGTCCCCAACTAATGAATGGAAAATCCAGGATTTGAACATTAGTCTATCTGATGAGTAGCTGATGTCAGCTACTCATACATTTTCCCCTGCTTCTAGAAAATTTGGCAAATAGGCATTCTGAATCCAAATTGGTGCCATATGGCTTCGTTTTTCCAGAAGATAAAAACCAACCCCCTGTGTAACCCCTCCCCCATTAGAATCATTAGTGGCTTCTGTTTCCCTGTGGTTGGTGGTATTCATACAGAATCTCTAGAATCTAAGTTGGGCTCTGCTGTTAAGTAGGTCTACATGACCTAAGGCAAGATTTTTCTTTCATCCCCACTCTTATTCACCCTGTACTGTTGGCCAGATACCAACTTTGGTTTTGAAACATATTTTATCACAGTTGGTCAAGTTCCTTGGGGCATAATGACTATTCAGTTGAGCAAGAGAGGAATAATGGGTTCTGGCTGACATCCATTCAGCCCTTCCAGAGGGTAGGGTGTCCTGGCTCCTGCTCAGTGTCCTGGATGTTCTTTAATGTGCAGTGTGGGGTGAATCTCTAGACTGTTACCCACAAGTCTGCATGTATTTATCACACTCTCTATAACCTGAAAAATATTTAGGGATATAACTGCTCGTTATCTTTGGGAGAAGTTACATTTAGAGCTAAGAGCACTAAAAGAGTATTCATAACAAAGAAAAGGAAGAAAGGAAGGAAAAGAGAGAGAGATGGAGGGAAAGAAAGACAAGAGAGGAATAAAAAGGAAAAAAAGGCAGAAAGGAAGGAAGGAGGGAGAGAGGGAGGAAGGGATGGAAAGAAAGAAGGAACAGAAATCAAAGTCAAAGATGCACTATCTCCCCTAATGTTTATTAGAGTTCAAGTACTTGTCACAAATATGATTAGCCTAGTAAACAAGGCATGTGGAAAATGGGTCTTACATCCTCATGGATGTCATTTGTGTGTACCCTGGATAGTGATAGTTATTGGTTGGGAACTTTGGTGTAATGATAATTAACTAGAATTAACTCAGAAAAAGAAAGGATTCACTGGGCTCTAAAATTGGATCCATCTAGCCCAAATACTACAGATGCTTGGCTTGGAGGCTCTGAAAGAAAAAGAACTTTCCCAAGTCACTGAGCTAGCAATTGTCAGAAATGGAGTAGGTTCTGACTTTGGGGTTGGTGTGTGTTTGTCTTTTACAAGTGAAGATCAATTTAGGACATAATGGGATGGAAATGTTACTGGATGGAGAGAGTCTGGCCACCTGTCATTGTCAACCAATATGCAGAGATGGGGACAGGGACCATCAAACTTTATTTGTCAGAAGGCTGGGATTCTGGAGAATAGTGAGAGCAGCCTCTCCAAGACTGTTCTATTCTTCTATTTCCAAAATTACAGTTTTATACATTTATGTTCAAAGTGAAGACCATGTTAACACTTATCTTAAACAATAATCAGCAGAACCCATGACCCATAGTAAACAATAATCAGTAGAACTCATGACCCAAAACAACATATCAATTCAAAAGTTAATCTTCTAAATCAATCCACTTAAATTACTCAAAATAGGCATATTTAGGTTGGGTGCTAACTTTATAAAACAGTAAGAATGGGAGACAAGGTGAAGGTCAGACAGGACCTAAACTGACCAGACCAGCTGGGTCCTGTCTGCCCCAGCCTGACAGGCTCCATCTTATTCTCACTACATGTGCTTTCAAATCAATGTGTGTTCATGGGAGTAAGGGTTGAACCTGTGGCTCTGAGTATCCAGGCTTCCCACAAAGACTCTCAGCCAGGGAGGGGGATGAACACCATCGCTTGAAGTCAGACTGCTGGGCAGACTTAGCTCTTCTACTTCTGTTTCTTTCCTGTTTCCCCAGAAGTTGAACCTGGCAAGCAACTCCCACATCATGAAGGGGATCAAAGCCTTTAGCAAGCTTGTGCCTACAAAGCGCTAGTGCTGCTCTCTCTTGGTAGATGAGCACCTTCATTTTGCTCCAAGACGCCAGAGACTTTGTTAAGACCATCAGTTCTGCAAAACAGCAAAGGCCTCTGTTGGAAGAAGAAGCTCTGTTTCTCCAGGCTCAGTGTCTCTATCAAGGTTTTCTCCACTTCACTCATGCTCTGTTGTCTTATCTGGATGGTACTTGGGAAACGGAAATGCGCTTCTAGGCACTGTCTGGTCCCCATATGGTTGTTTGTGGGCATCATTAAAATGATGTCTGAAAGACCTCAGCACAGACAGACGCTGATGAATGTGAGCCCCTCCCTTCTCTGCCCTGTCATGCTGCACATGAGTCTCCATGAGGGTCCCCAAGACCCACTTTCTTCATCCCAATTGCCCTGAGGTCCTGTAGGCCGGCTGCATTTAGGGATATGCATACCCCCCTGTATGAATATTCATTCTTCCAACATACTCTATCTTTCTTCTCCCTCCCCCTATAGTGCTTTTGCCTCTTCTGTCCTCCCAGGTCCCTTTAGAAATGGTGACATGGAAAAAAATTAAAATGGACCATGATGCCCACAAGTGGGAACTAGAATTAAGATCTGACCTTCTTTCCATTTGCTGGCAGGATGCCTGGCCTCTGTGAACCTTCCCCATCCTGGGGACTAAAATTGACTTTGCTTTTGTCTCTGGACTTTCATTAAAAAAAAAAAATCGTGGGAGCAACTGATATGAAAGTCTTAGATAGAACAGTGGTTCTCAAACTTTAGCAAGCAGAGGACTTTTCTGGAGGGCTTACTACACGTTACAGAACAGGTGGCTGACCCCACCTGTAGTGTTTCAGCTGGTCTAGGGTGGGGTTAGAAATTTCTAAGCAGTTTCCTACAAGGGTGGTAGTGCTGGTCCAGAGGTCACACTTTGAGAACACTGCTACAGAACATTCTAAGATGGATGTTCCTGATTTTTCTAAATATCCTGAGGTTTAGAGAAAAGGGAGAAAGCACTGTAAAGTAAGTCTGTGAGAAAAAGCCAGAGTAGGAGGGGCAGAAATGGGAGAGTATAAAATCAGAAGTGACTGTTCACTAAGGTGCATGCCACCTGTAGGCAGTCAGAAGGGATGAGAAATCTGGTGCGCTGGCTGTCACTGGCTGTCTGTATATATAGACTGAATGCAGGTGAGGCAGCAAGGTGGGCAAGGATGGGAGGAGGAGAGGACAGAGCAAGAAGGGGTTGAGACAGGCAGAGAACAGGTTCTATTAACTGGGCATGATGTCTTTTGAGTAGAGCATAGTGATTGGTGCAGAACGAAGGATTCAGAAAGTCTTGGGTTCAGCTTCTGGTTTTTCCTTTCATAAAGGCAAATAACTTTGCTCTCTCTGAGACTCAGCCCTTACATCTATATAAGAGTAATAATAATCTTTAAGAGAGAAGGATCTTATTATGCTTTGTTTTGGAAAGCTCCCCAAAGTCTGTTGTTAAGGAAGCAAGGTACAAAATACACAGCTTACAGATTAAGCTATCCTTTGTGTAAAAAAAGAAAAAAAAAAAAAGGAGTAAAACGTTAGGAATATCTGCTTGCTTGGGTGTTCCTAGAATCTCTACAGGTTTCACAAGAATTATATCAATAATTTGTGGAGAGGATAGCAGTATGAAGGGTCAGAGATAGCTGGGAGGATTTATGTTTTCCCTTGCAACACTCAAATTTGAATTGTTTCCCAGGAAAACAAATAAATTCAGTAAAGAACAAGTGATCTGTGTCTGTTATACCCATTGTGAGGATTAAAGTAGAAAAAAGGTGAAGAAAGTCCAGTAGAACTGCCAATATTTTCTAGCCTGCCTCTGCAGGAACACATGGGAGCTATCATCATTGCAGCCAGGGAGAATGCACACCACACTGTGTTTGAGGGGGAGGTCTGGGTAAGAAGCTGTTGGAAAGAAACTGTTTTACAACTAGGGCTTTAGTTGGGTGATTTGGGGTGGGAGACTTAAGAAAGCAGGTGTTTGTTCAAGATTGGATGTTGTCTGAAAGAGGAGGACAATTCTGTGACTGGGTATCTAAAGAAATCTTAGCTATGGGGAAGGCTACTAGAGCCAGAGAAAGTTTAACCAGGGAAGAAGCAGCAATGACCCATTTACGTGGAGCTAGGAAAGGTGTTGGGTAACGTGTGGGTTGCAGGGGGACCTTGTACTAGCCTGTGTTTACACAAAATTCTTAGGCAACCTTGCTTTATCTCATTGGACTGTGATTTCTGAGTAACCTCTTGTGACATTATTATTCTGTAAGCTTGTTGTTGTTCACTAGGAGAATAATATGGCCAGTGCTGAGTGCCAGGTCAGCTTTCCAGATGCCAGGGCTGCCTTTTATCTTCCTTCTTAGAACACAGCAGGCATTGTTAAGGCTTCCATCAGTGGTGGTGGTGGTGGTGAAGGTGTTATGTCTTCAACATTGCTTGATAAGTTGATGGAGGAGGAGGAAGGCCAAATGGCAAAAATGGTGATGTTTGGCCAGAGAGGTGATGAACAAAGACATATAAAGCACAATGGCAGAGAACCTGGAAGGATTTGATTGTGTTCAGCAATATCAGTAGAGGAAATAGCAAAGGGGCACTTCTGGGGACACCAGGGTCTGAAAGAGCCCAGTTCCTGGAATCAAACAGAGCTGAGTGTGAGCCTAAGCTGAACCTGCTTTTGGCTTTGTGGACAAAACACACATGAAAGTCTCCTCTGCTCTTTCATCTGTAAAATGAGGAGAAGATTATAGAGATTAAAGACAAGGATGAAAAATTATAAAGATTAGTCATTAGAATCCAATGTACTCAATTCTAATATGAAGCCAGTAGATGATGTAATACATACCCTCACAAGAGAAAAATTCAAATCAATTCAAGGTGGGGGGCAAGGGAATGAGGAAGAGGGGAGGGGGACTGGGGTTATGATATATGGCACACCTCTATGGGGCAAGACACAATTATAAGAGGATGTTACCTAAAAAATGCAATCAGTATAACCTAATTCTTTGTACCTTCAATGAACCTCAAATGATTAAAAAAAAAAAAAAAGATTAGTCATTGTGTTGGACAAAGCCATGAGCTCCATGACTGGGCAAAGTTGAAAACTCACCCAGAAAGCACCTCTAATCTTGGCATTTATTACAAAACATTGGTACCTGTGACTCGAACCTAAAATGACTGCCACCAGCTGCACTCAGAGGAGTTTTGGCTTTATGGTAACATTCCCACAAAGTTTCTGGGACCAGAATACCTGAATACTTACTGGCTTTGAGTAAGTGATTTCCCTCCCTAAGCCTCCATTTTTGTATCTAGGTACAAAATGGAGATTATGATAATACATGTATAAATAACATGTATCACTGTATGTAATATATAATAATATAACATACAATATAATAATAATATAACAATACCAACAGCCTATGAATTAGCATCTTCAAAGGTAAAGAAAGTGAAGCACAAAAGGACTGATTAATTCCCTCTCATAGACAAGTGGCACTTGCAATGAAATATTGATCTTGTGTTTATAGTTGATTGAGTACCTGAAATACATCCTGAAAAAAAAGCAAAGCATAGCTTAATGGTTCAGAAAAGTCTATATAATCAAGACTTGTTGAGTTTACACCTAATTCCCTAATTCATTAGTCTTGTGCCTTTTTGGCCTAAATTTTCATATCTGTAAGACTTGGGGGGTTAGGATCAGGAGTGAGAAGCAAGTTATACATTCTAATCTCTCCCTCCTGACCCTGTTGAGAAGATAAGACAGCTCCTGGAACAAAGCAAATTCCAAATAAACATCAGTTATTGTTAATAGACAGAGGCTCTGCACGTGGTGTTGGAACAGAGGCACTCCCTATAAAATGTGGTCAAGGAGGATAAAAGAGTACAATTTTCTAGGAGGCACAAAAAAAAGAAAAAATCACTGAGGCTTCTGGGAACATTCAAATAGGTTGTTTTCCTGAAAGGTTGGGATGTGGGTTAAAACCAGAATGTTCCATCCAAACTTCCAAATTTTGAAATTTCATTGAATAAATGAAAGCTAGGTGATGTTGATAAGTGGCTTTACTCTAACTTAATGAAAAGCCTGTGGAATATGTGGAATAGACACAGTTCCTATCTGAATAAATGAGCTTTCTTGAGTAGATGCAAAATCTCCCAGTTGAAAGTGTTCATAGTCATCAAAGGTGTCGTATTGTGGATGTTTTCACAACAGAACAGTTGGCTACATGAATTTCAAGGAAATGCCAACAGCCATTATTCTGGGAATGAAGTATTTTAGGAGGGGGTTTACATTTTACTCATATTTGTTTTTTCTTTCAGACCTGATTTCCCATTTACACCCCCCATTTCAAGGTAAGAAGACTATCTTTTTATTTGTTAGTATTTCAAATGTGCCTCCCCACCCTTTAAACAATATTACATTCCTGAAAATCCCTTGCATTTTCTTGCCATTTCACCCTTTCCTTTGCTATTCTTTTGGCATGAAAGGCTCTCCCAGGACATGGCATGCAAATGATATATTTCAAGATCTTAAAAAAAAAAAAAGAGGGCAGGGGTGGCACCTGTGGCTCAAAGGAGTAAGGTGCCAGCCCCATATGCCAGAGGTGGTGGGTTCAAACCTAGCCCCGGCCAAAAAGAAAAAAAAAAGAGGGCAGCCCAAATGAAAGTAAAGTCAAAAAAGAAGTGACTATTCCTCCAAATGCAAAAACAAACAAACAGTATCACAATACTGGAAGTATGGAAAAGCAGGGAGTTAGGACACTCCCAACGTATCATACTAACTCTCTAGCAAGGGATCACAAACAAAATGAATGGGCCACATTCATAGCCATATTGGGCTGCCTGCAGCCTGAGGGCCACAGGTTGAACATCGCCCTGCTTACACACAGAAAAAAAAAATTAGCCAGGTGCACACACTTGTAGTCCTAGCTACTCAAGATGTTGAGGCAGGATAATCACCTGAACCTATGAATTCAAGGCTGCAGTGAGCCATAGTCACACAACTGTACTACAGTTGGGGTGACAGAGCAAGATGCTGCCACCCCCGCAAAAAAGAAAAAAAAAGAATAATCATTCTCCTTGCAGCATAAAGAGCAGGTGGAACAAATAGGTTGGGCACATGAGTCATTGCTGTAGTCAAAGCAAGGCAAGACCTTGGGTGGTGATAAAGTATGGTAGGGAAGTGGAGAGCTTTGAGAGATATTTAGGAGCTAACTTTGGCAGGCTAACAGATGTATTTTTCTAGCAGAGAGGGAGAAGAGAGACGCTACGGGAAACTCCAGAGTTTTGGCTTGGGAAAATCAGATGCTAGAAGACTTCCATAAAAAGGAAGCCAGCAATTCCATCCTGCTTCCAGCTCTGCACTGAAATAAGGCTTCCTTTGATATCTGCTTATGTTTTTGCCACACATAGAAAAGGCTGTTGGTGAGACCAGCTACATGTGGACATAAGGAGTATGGGTGATTGGGCATTTGAAAGTGCCTTTGTAAGCTTGCCCTACATTTAGCATGTATTCTCTTTTCCAGTTATTTCTACACATCCCTGTGTCTTTCCATTTACCTATGGCGATGTAACCTACTACAGTTGCATCTCTGTCCACAGTGACTTTGATTGGTGCTCTTTTGACAAAGAATTCCGAGGCAGGTGGCGATATTGCACAATGAGCGGTGAGTGTCCTATGGTGAGCTGCCTTGGGTGCCCAGGACCCAAGAAGAAGATGATAGCAGTTCGCTGCTTGGTTTATGGTGGCAGGTAGACTTGAATTTGAATCCTGACTTTTCTACATCATTTTAACTGCTTTTGAAAACAATTCGTTGTGGTAGGAAAAGGATGATGCACTGTTGGCAATGATTACTTGTAAGACTGTCTATGTTCATCCTCCTCCTTCTCCCCCTACCTTCTTTTATCTGCAGATCCTCCCCGGTGTGTCTTTCCCTTCTTATTCAGACAAAAACTCTATAATGAATGTACCAAGGATGGCTATATTTTGGATCGGAGTTGGTGTTCATTGACAGGCGATTACAACAAAGATGGGAAATGGAAGCAGTGTTCTCCTAACAAGTAAGATAGCTGGGGAGGGATAGAAGGGGGGTTGTCTCTTATGCATCTGTTAAAGTGGGAACCCTCTGAATTAATGATAGGAGAAGCTTGGGATCTAGATTATCTGACAATGGCTTAGAGCATGGTCAGCAAACACTTCCTTTGAAGGGCCTGATTTCCAGTAAATATTTTAGTCTTAGTGAGCCATATGTCTCTGTCAATTCTGCTCTTCTTGTGGCACAAAAGCAGTGACAGACAATAAAACAATGTGTACAATGTCCATTATTTGGGTTATGCACATAATTAAAGCCCAGACTTCACTACTGTGCTATATGTCCATGTAATAAAATTGCTCTCATAAACCTTAAATTTATACAAACATTTTTAAAAAGTAAATGTGACCCATGTTCCAGTAAAATTTTATTCGAGGGCCCTGAAATATGAATCTTATATAATGTTCAAGAATCAAAAAATAATAGTCATGATTATTTATTTATTTATTTTGAGGCTAACCATTTAAAAGTGAGAAAACTATTTGCTCGTGGGCTGTATGAAGACAGATGGTAGGTTGGTTTAAGCCTCTGGGCCCTACTTATCAGGGCCCTGCTTAGATGATCTGTCCTTGATGACAGGCTGATGAAGAAATATATAAGTTTTGGGCAGTGCTTGTGGCTCGAGGAGTAAGGCGCTGGCCCCATATATTGGAGGTGGGTTCAAACCTGGTCAAGGCCAAAGAAAGAAAGAAAGAAAGAAATATATATGTTTCCATCGAAAAGAAGATGAAGGTAGGAGAAAAGCATGGTCAGCAGACATTGGAGAGACCACCCATCTCAAGGCTGTTGTATTATGTAGTCAGGATTTAGCTGAGTGCTCAAAACACTCTGATCACTGCACTGAGTACTTCCTGAACAGCATCTCATGCAACCTTTGTCATGACCTCAGGCAGTGATTACAGGAATCCTTACACCCACAAAAAAAATAAATAAATAAATAAGGAGACAGGCTTAGGAGTCAGGCTACACCCCAAACCAGGTGTCAAATCCCATCATGTGAATGAGACATTATACAGAGGCCACTTAGGACCAGACTCCATTGAATGACCCCCTCCTAGAGGCTATCTTGGGCTTTTCATTCATTGTCTTTTTTCCATCAAAATTGCTGTATTATGGATGTGGAAGTGAACACTGAGAGCTGGAGTGTCTTAGCTGATCATACTCTAAGAGATGAAGCCTCAACCATGCCCTACACTCAGTAGTAGTTGAAGTCAGTAATCATGACTACTTCCAGCTCTCTGCATTTTTCTAAATTCATAGAATGGCCATGGTGACCCACCCATCCCCTCTACTTGGGATGCTGAGGCAGGAGGATCACTTGAGCTCAGAATCTGGAGGTTATGGTGAGCTATGAGTGCACCAATGCATTCTAGTCAGTTTGATACAGCAAAACCACACCTAAAATCAAACCAAACCAAAAAAAAAAAAACAAAACAAAAACCGAAAATGAAAATAAACTTCATAGAGTTATTCATTTGAGAATATCTTTGGGGTTTTCACAACAAAAGTGCCACAGAGATAAAGATGCCTAGATTTCTGCCTGCAATCTGCTGGATTTTATCTGTATCTAAGCTAATAGTTTTCCCCTATATACATTGTTTTGTCTGTTTTTTTTCTTGAGACAGAGTCTCATGCTGTTACCCAGGCTAGAGTGCTATGGCATCACCCTACCTCATAGCAACCTCAAATTCCTATGCTCAAGTGATCTTCCTGCCTCAGACTTCTCAACAGCTGGGACTATAGGCACATACCATGACACCCAGCTATTTTTTGTATTTTTAGTAGAGATGGGGGGTCACACACTTGCTCAGGCTGGTCTCAAACTCCTGAGCTCAAGAAATACTTTTGTTTGGCTTCTTAGAGTGCTAGGATTGTAAGTGTGAGCCACCACCCTCGGCCTTCCCTGTATACATTGTGATCTTCTTTGTATTCATCTTTCTTTTTGGGTCTCCAGAAATGAACCAGACATAGCAACTGTTTTGCTTAATGTATGCCTATAGTTCCATTTCCACTCTCTGGCTTTATTGAGCCTTTAATTTTCTCTGGAATTTTGGCTAATGGTCATTTATTCCTGGACTGATGCTGACTTATTTCAAGATGCTGATGACAGATAATAATTGTAAGATGACAGGGAGCCTCTCTGGTTTTCACACCTGGCTTTCTGTTGCATGATACTCATCTGCAGCTTTTACTAAACTGAAAACCTAATCTCCTTGAACACCTCCATCAGCGCTCTTGGATGAGTAGATACATTGTCAGTAAGCAGTACTATTTTGAAAGAGAAATCTATCGGCATTGATTTCTCTTCCCTAGCTATGAAAGTTTTAGATAGATGGAATCTTATTCCAACTGAAGACTGTTTTGCTACACTAAAAATCTACTGTTTACGTTACACACCTTCATCCATGATACTTAGCTAGATCTTCTGGACAACTTCTACATCAACACTTGCTGCTTTCCCTTGCACTTTTATGTGGCAGAAATGGCTTCTATTCTTTTTTTTCTTTTTAATTTAATTTTATTATTTATTTATTTATTTGCAGTTTTTGGCCAGGGCTGGATATGAACCCACCACCTCTGGCATATGGGGCCAGTGCCCTACTCCGTTGAGCCACAGGCACTGCCCAGCTTTTATTCTTAAGCCTCAGGAACCAACCTCTGCTGGCTTCAAAGTTTTCTTCTGCAGCTTCCTCACCTCTCTTAGCTTTCACTGAATTGAAGAGAGTTAGGACCTTGCTCTGGATTAGACTTTGGTTTAAAAAAATGTTGAGGTTGGTTTGATTTTCTATCCAGACCACTCAAGCTCTCCACATCAGTCATAAGTCTGTTTTATAGTGTATGTTTTCACTGGAATAGCACTTTTAATTTCCTTTCATAAAATTTCCTTTGCATTCTCAGCTTGGGTAATTGGCATAAGAAGCCTAGCTTTTAGCCTGTCTTGGTTTTCTTTCTTCTTCTTTTTTAAAAATAGAATAGTAACTATGTACATTAATGCACTTCTGGGGTACAGTGTGGGGTTTTCACACACAATCCAAAACACTTCCATCAAACTGGTTAACAAAGCCTTCATGTAATTTTCTTAGTTATTGTGTTAAAACGTTCATATTCTACTCTTAGAAAGATTCCCTTGT